TCATGTATGCATTTGATGCGCATGTTGTATGGGAAGACCTCAAAGAGCGATTTGATAAAGTGAATCGAGTGACAATTTTCCAGATACACAGAGCAATTTCAGGGTTATCACAAGAAATTGACTCTGTTGCTGTTTATTTTACTAAGCTAAAAGAGCTTTCGGCAGAGTACGATGTGTTGGTACCTTCACAAAATTGTGGTTGTGCAGGGGCAAAGGAACACACTGTTCATATGCATCAACAATGATTAATGCAGTTCCTAAATGGGCTAAATGACACATATAATCAAGCACACAGGCATATTTTTTTAAAGACTAATGAACCAACTCTTAATCAGGCATATGCGCTGATTTCTCAAGATGAGAGTCAACAAGCTATGGGAAATCTATCAGCGACAGAAAAACTGGATCTTTTGGCTATGCAAGCAGGTAGAGGATAAGGCTATCATGGAAGAAAGCAGTTCTTACAGTACGAGCATTGCAAGATGAAAGGACATACTAAAAAAATTGCTTCAAAATCATTGGGTATCCATATGATTTCAAGGTGAAGAGAGGATATCAACCAAGAGGAGGTCCTATGACAACCAATAATGTAGAAGGGCCACCAGCAACTGGGAATTTGTAAAGCAAGGGTGGTGATTACTTCTTCATTGAAGCCCAATACCAGCAGATCATGAGCTTGCTTAACAAGGAAGGACCTAGTGATACCATAGTGCAAACACAGGCTAACATGGTAGGTACAATTTGCTCACTTTCTTCGAGTATGCATCCAGATGAGTGGATTGTTGATTTAGGAGCTACACACCACAAAGCTTATACCCTGAATCTCTTACATAACATTCAAAGTATTGCCGAACATAAAAGAGAGTCAATAAGGCTGCCTAATGGAACTAGTACAGATATAACTCATATTGGTAATTCACAGTTATCAGCTGACAACATACTGAAAAATATTCTCCATGTACCAGATTTCAAGTTTAACTTGATGTTAGTGTCAAAGTTGACAAGAGATCTATTATGTGCTGCCATTTTCCTGCCTGAATTGTTTGTGTTTCGGGATCTCTACAATGGCAAGGTGAGAGGGATTAGTAAGGAAAGTGAAGAGCTGTACTTGCTAAAAGGAAAAGGAGTTAAAAGGTTAGTAGCAACCGTTGGAAATGAAATGAGAGCAGGAGATTCAAGCTGGATGTGGCACATGAGGCTAGGACATGCTTCAACACCAGTATTGCAGCACATTCCATTTCTGAAGAATAAAGTAGATAGTAGCTTACATAATAAATGTTCTGTATGCCCTATGGAAAAGCAATCTAGACTTGCTTTTCCTGATAGTGAACAGAGAAGCACTAAAGCATTTGAGCTACTACATATGGATGTTTGGGGGCCATGTAGAGTGCCAACTGATGATGGGAAACACTACTTTCTTACTGTTGTAGATGACTACTCAAGGGCAACTTGGATATTTCTAATGCAATTGAAGAGTGAGACCATTGTATTCTTGAAGCAGTTTATGTGCATGGTTAAGAATCAATTTGATACCTCTATTAAGGTAACTAGAACAGATAATGGAACTGAATTCTTTAACAAGCAATGGAACACCATTCTACAAGATCAGGGAGTGATTCATCAGAGTAGTTGTGCCTACACTCACAACAAAATGGAGTTGTGGAGAGAAAGCACAGACACATATTAGATACAGCAAGGGCATTAAAATTTCAAGTAAATTAACCAAAAAGATTTTGGGGTGAGTGCGTGCAAACTGCTGTTTACATCATAAATAGGTTGCTTTCTAAAGTGCTGAGTGGCAGGAGTCCATATGAATTGTTACACAAAAGAAAACCAGCACTTGCTCATTTAAGAGTTTTTGGTTGCTTGTGCTATGCTACAATCTTAGTGAAGGAGGACAAGTTTGCACCTAGGTCCAAGAAAGCAGTCTTGTTAGGATACTCTTCCACACAAAAGGGATATAGGCTACTGGATTTAGATACTAACTGTTTTTTTAGCAGAGATGTCACATTCAGAGAATCAATGTTTCCTTTCAGAGAATCACAGCTGCAGATCGATCCACACATAGTGAAGCAGAATCAAGAAGATTTTTTGTGTTTGCAGCAAGGTAACAGACCTGTTGTAGAAGCATACAATCATGAAGAGCATGATCATGCAACTGAAATGCACGATCCGATTGCCTCCTTGGATCGAACAACAGAGCCTGCAAGTGATAATCCAGCAGACAAACTTGCAGCCGATGAAAGGGAACAACTGGAAGGAGAACTTGTATCCACAGCACCTGAAAGCCTAGCCGAGGAATCAACAAGTTTTGCTGAAGAAAACCTGATTGCTCCTACCCTGAAAGGAATGCCAACATCTGACGGACCTTCTACTGCAGACATTAGGCAGTCTACTAGAGTCGAACAACCACCTATATGGATGCAAGATTATGTTACAATGATGCCAAAGTCCTCACAATGTGCCTATTCTCTTTCTCACTACTTATCCTATGACAATGTCGCTCAGAAGTATAAAGATTACTTGCATTCCTTCTCAGTGATGAATGATCCTAATTCATTCAAATAAGCAGTAAAAGACAAGAGGTGGATAGAAGTAATGCAACAAGAAGTGAAGGCTTTGGAGGATAACAGGACTTGGGTGGCAGTTCCCTTACCTGCTGGGAAATCTACAATTGGTTCCAAATGGGTGTACAAATCAAGTATAAGTCAAATGGAGAAGTAGAAAGATTCAAAGCACGACTTCTAGCAAAGGGATACAATCAACAAGAAGGTTTAGATTATCGCGAGACATTTTCACCAGTTGCCAAAATGGTGACTGTGAGATCTGTCATAGCTATTGCAGCTTCTAGAGATTGGAAGCTTCATCAAATGGATGTGTTTAATGCATTTGTTCAAGGAGATCTACATGAAGAAGTGTACATGGATTTTCCACAGGGTTTTCAAAAGCAGGGGGAGACAAAGGTGTGCAGATTACTAACGTCCTTGTATGGACTTAAGCAAGCTTCAAGGCAGTGGTTACTGAAGCTTACATAAGCACTGTTGAATGCAGGTTTTCATCGAAGTGCTTTTGATTACTCCCTGTTCACCAAGAGATCTGGAAACGACATTGTCATAATTCTCATATATGTCGATGATCTACTCATTACTGGTAGCAGCAGTACCATGATTGATAAAGCCAAGAAGGTTATGCATCAACAATTTAAGGTTAAGGATCTAGGGGAATTGCGATACTTCTTGGGAATAGAAGTTTTGAGATCACAACAGGGCATTCTGTTGAATCAAAGAAAGTATACTTTGGAGTTGATTTCCGAGTTAGGGTTGAGTGGAGCAAAGCCTGCAGTTACACCGCTGGAGATCAATCAAAAACTGACTTCAGTGGAGTATGATAAAGGAGTTGGAATGCAGGTAGATGATCCTATGGTAGATGTCACAGGATATCAAAAGCTCATAGGGAAGCTTCTGTATCTAACAATTACTCGACCAGACATAAGCTATGCTGTGACCCTTAGTCAGTTTAAGCAAGCCCCAAAGAAGTCCCACATGGATGCAACACTTAGGGTGGTCTGGTATTTGAAGGCAATACCTGGCATGGGAGTCCTAATGCACAGGGAACCTAAAGACACACTGATGAGATTTTGTGACTCAGACTGGGAAGCCTGCCCTGTCACTAGAAGATCAGTTAGTGGCTATGTAGTGAAATTTGGAAATTTTTTGATTTTCCGGAAATCAAAGAAGCAACATACAGTGTCTAGAAGTAGTGCAGAAGTAGAGTATAGAAGTATGGCATCTGCAGTTGCAGAGATTGTGTGGCAAACTGGACTCTTCCATGACTTAAGAATCACATTGCAAAAACTAGCTCCTCTTTATTCTGACAGTAAAGCTGCAATGCAAATTGCAGCAAACCCCATATTTCATGAGAGAACCAAGCATATTGAAATTGATTGCCATTTCATCCGAGAGAAGATCAAACAAGGATTTCTGGAGACTGAGTATGAGCATACTAAGGACCACAAGCAGATTTGTTGACCGAAGGATTGAGCTTGGGACAACATCACTACTTACTTGGCAAGCTTGGAGTGTTAAACATTTTACACCCTCCAGCTTGAGAGGGAGTGTTGGAGTGTTGTGCATATACATTAGTTAGTATAGGGGTCAATTTGTACATATTAGAAGTTAGAGGTGGACATTAGTTATTTAGCATAGTGTTAACGTATTAGTGGATAGTTAGTTATAAGTATATCTAAAGGGTTCATTTTCCAGTTAACGAAGAATCGACATTTTCTTGTTCTTCAATGGCTGAAATCCAGCAATTGCAAATACTAAAATGTGACCATCAAGTGATATATGAAATATGTTTGAAGATACATTTTAGGTGAATGGCTACTCCCTTCGTCTCAATTTATGTGATACTTTTTGCTTTTATCAATTTGATTAATCTTCGAATCTAAATTTGATTAGATCAACTCAATATCTTAAAATTAAAAATTAAATATTCAAAACTATAGACAAATCATTATAAATTTCAATTCTTCTTATGTCTATGATGAAAAATATAATTTAAAATGTTTATCAAAGTTTTCTCGAAAATAAAAAGTATAACATAATTGGGATACGATGAGTAGTTTGTTTTTGCTGACAAATTTTATCTTTCACAATTTTTTTTTCAAGTATAACTAATGTTCAAACACAACTTCACTTTGATATTGTTTTCCTCAAGTTTTGCTTCAAACAAATGCTAATTTTTTCAACTTCAGCGCAAAAATTGTTCAAGTGCGTACTCAATTTTGGGAAAAACCTCTACATTTTTCTTTCGAAGGCGGGAAAACCTTTTCACATAGACAGAGACCACTAGATTGAAAGGGCCAAATTTCTGTCGATCTCTTCCTCTCTAGGGTTCATAGAGAGTCGTCCCATCAAGTTCCCGAGATGATTATGAGGAAATCCATCATCAGTTTTACTAATTCGACCTATCAAATCTCCGGGTAAAGGTAATTTGTTGGTATTTTTCTGCTTTTTAATCGAAAGATAATGGAAACATCAACAAGTAAAGCTAAGATTTGCGGCAGTACAAGTAAAGGGATCGATAGAATAAGCGGTTTACCAGATGATGTACTCCACAACATCCTTTCATCTCTCCTTATCTTTGATGTGGTTCAGCTGAGTCTACTGTCTAAAAGATGGAAATACATATGGACTACTATGCCTTACTTGCACTTTGATTTTGATAAATTTTATTTACAACGGCTCAAACGGCTTTGTGATATGGAAATGACTGACAAATTCAAAGATTTTATCAATTGGGTCTTAATTTCCCAAAGGGCCACTAATCTTGTCCGTTTTCTTCTCATTGGCGATATCTACGGTATCTTTGATAAAGTAGATATTTTGCGGTGGATTCATGCTACCACAAGGCGAAATGTTCAAGAACTTGTGTTAGAATTTTGTCTTCTCGAGCCATTTGAGTTACCATATTGTGTTGCAACTTGTGAATCTTTGCAAGTTTTAAAGCTAAACTTGTCTGGGGACATACTCAAACTGCCTAATCATTTGGGATTTTGTCAACTGAAATTGCTCCATCTTGAGAACGTGGCGTTGTCAGACCAGCAATTGACAATTTGTTTGTTCTCAAAATGTCACCTCCTCGAAAAATTGATTTTACAGGAATGTAGTTTAGGAGCTTTGACACTACTTGATATTGCTTCAACATCTCTTATTTATGTTACTTTTGGAAATGTCTATTATAAAGTGGAGAGTTATGGAGATTGTGAAGTCAAACTTTGTTGCCCCAATCTCAAGTTCTTCAAATACAAACAGTGGCGGATGCAGAATTTTTAAATCATGGGTGCTTAATTATTTTTTATCTGAAAATTACATTTGAGACTGGGTGCTCAAGTAATATATTTGAATGAATTACTAATTTTTCTATATAAATAATAGTGTATGGCTCCAAAAGTAATGGGTGCTTAAGCACCCATAATCTATAACATGCATCCGCTGGGTGCTTAAGCACCCATAATCTATAACATGCATCCGCCACTGAATACAAAGCTCCAATGCCAAAGGATATAATCTTTGAGAATCTTTTTTCGATAGAAGATGTTCGTATCGTCTTTACTTATAGTAACCGCTCACTTGAAGAAACTGGTATACTTGTGCATAAGATGATTAAGGAGGTTCCTTCTACATCAATTTTGAAGCTATGCGAGGCTTCCTATTCGGTAAACTATTCTCTTTAGGTTATGTATAAAAGGAATATAGGAGTACTGAAAAGATATACAGCAAAGTACATTTTTCGAATACTTAACTGTATTATTTTTTTGACATACAGTCTGACTACTTATTAAAAGTATGTTTATTGTCTTAAGTATTTATTAAAAAAACTACAGTCAGTATTTCTAAGTCGTTTGGAGAACTTGTCGGCAGCTTTTCATATTAGTCTCTTTACCAATAAATTTCTCACTTCTTACTTTCTTAGTTATTAAAAAAAAAAGAAAAACTTCTTATTTCTTACTTTTTGCTGCTGTAGGGTCTGTATGAAGCGAATCACAAAGGAAGACTCTCTCCCGTCTCCTTTTATAAGCTGAAGTTGTTAAAACTGAAAGTGGGAGTTGATGAAGATGGTATGCAAGGCATGATATTATTGCTCAAATATTCTCCTAATCTGGAGGTTCTAAAATTATGGTCCGAGGTAAAGCTCTTCATCTTTTTCCCGAAATGCATAAATTTACCATTGTCATTGAAACAATGCTAAAATATGAATCTATATTCGAGTAAAGCAGAATCTAACAAGCAAAATTCCACTTACCTAAATGGTAAATGTGCCACAATGAAAGAGAGAGGATATGACTAATCAAGAGTTTTAACTTTTAACATCCACCTTGGGAATTGGCTAGTATCACATGTTTACTCATGCCATTGATTTAATCATTTATGCTGCTAGAATTTAATGGTAAAAATCGATTTGAACCGTGAATTTGTGTGGGGAAAGTTTAAGAAGTACTGAGATGATGCTACAACTTTTAGGAGCATTAAATTAATAAATGAAGGAGAAATTGTAAACGTTGCAGTACCGTGATTTAAAAAATTGTCAGCAACCATATATTCTTTGGTTCTAAGCTGAGGTTTACCGGAGAGGGAGCTTACCCATATTAATTCATTTCCCTCGTAAAAGAAAGACGCATAATTGACAGATTCTGAAATCAACTCAATTCGAAGCTAGAACTTTGGAGATGTGTGTTTCAAATCTTCTCATGCGTAAGCAATGTGGTCTAAAGGGAGCATTAGTATAAATTCACTTGGCTTAATGAGGGTATTGCTGGTTTAGATGACCTGAGATGAGCAAGATATTCGTTAGAGGGATGGCTTGGTTTGAATAGCAGGTACCATACTCTGAAATATGAACAGATCACTGGAACTTTTAATGCATTTGTGATGCCTAGGGGGAAAAGAAAAATTCCAAAGAGAAGGAAATGGTCCAAAACATTTTTGGAAGTGAATCTTGTTTGACATTTTCACTTGTAATTGAGGCAAATGGTTGCTAACACTTCTGAATGATTGCTTATTGTTATTTGTTGTTGTTTCAATATAAGTGTTTACTATTCTTGATCAAGTAGTTTCTCCTCTGACACTCAACTGTCTTCTAGGATGAAGACTGGAGTGTGAATTGGAAGCTGCATGATCCTGATGAAAGCATTGTGTGCTTGGAATCTCATCTAAAGTCAATTCAGTTGAATGGTTTCAAAGGTCAACATAAGGAGATAGAACTACTAAGGTTTTTTCTGAAGAATGCACAAGTTTTGGAAAAGCTAACGGTTGTTTGGGACGAGTATGCTTCTAAATCAGAAAAGGCATCAGATGAGGTTTTGAAGTTTCCTAGAACTTCTTCGCATGTTTTTCTGACATTTATTGATGCCAAGCCCATGCCAAGCTCTCCTAACTGGTACACTAGATATTAAAAATGACTCAACTTAGGATTATTCGATTGACTTTGATTGAAATTGCTCTTAAAGATCCAAGTCAGCCAAACTATATAAGAAATTACATGAGGCCTTGATGTTTTTGAAACTTCTACGGCTGTTTTGCCTATATGTTTGAACTGCTATATAGTAACTAGGAAGGTCATGTCTTATTTCTACTGTAAGGTAAAGGATGTGGTTAACTTTATTTACAAGTGTCAAAGAAACAATTATGATGTCTCAGCAAAACCAATGTTTCTGCAACCACTTCTTATTCTCACACTGTTTGGTCTGCAATCAATATGGACTTCATAGAAACACTTCATGTTTAAAGGGAATGAAGTCGTTTGGGTCATATTTGATAAGCTCAGCAACTATGCTTCCTTGTCCCTTGCCCATCCTTATACAGCACACCCACTAGCTCAAATATTCATGGACATCAATTTTAACCTGTAAGGACTGCTTGCTATTACTGTGAGTGGTAAAGATCCAACTTTCATCTGCTCAATCTGGCAAGAGTGTTTTTTTTGTTAGGAGTGTAACTACATACTTAAAAATATCATCCTTACTCTGCAGCCAAACTGAGATCCTCAACAAGCGTCTCAAGGCTTATTTGATGTGTTTTTGACTGGTTTCAATATCTTATTCTAGATGAATGGTGGTAGAATACCACATCTCATTTCGCAATTCAGTTAACTTATTTTGAAGTTCTATTTGGTCAACCTGAACTAGGTAGGGGTAAGGTCTGCGTACAGACTACCCTCCCCAGACCCCACTTGTTGGGATCAAACTGGGTTTGTTGTTGTTGTTGTTGTTATTTGGTCAACCTCCCCCCAAACTCGTATCCTTATTTTGACTGGTGATTCTACTTTAGAGGTGCTGGATTACATTTCAGTTGGTAAGATATCAACAAAGAATAAGGTAATTGGCAGAGTACCACAGATCCGATGGGCAATTTCATGTGGGAGATTTTGAAGCTGCAACACTGTAGACAACTTTCTTTTGTTCATAAACTTGTCCATAAACTCTCTTCTAAATATTTCTGACCATATCATGTTTTGCTAAAGTAGGAACAACGTCTGTTCGACAGCTATAAGCTTCAACTTCCTCAAGTGTAAGTATATCCATCCTGTCTTTCATATATCTCAGTTAATAGTGGTTCAGCTTGTTAGGATGATTTTGGCAGGAGTTAATTATTGGTTCATTCTGTACTTTAGCTCCTCAGTAGTCAGTTACAGTGTAATTACATTGTACATACATTTAAATACTTGTAAAGCGTCATTGTTAAGAAATAAGAAACCACACAAATACATCTATATTCTTCTTCTTGCCCTTATATTGGATTCCTAGTTCCCTAATAATTTCCCTTCAATTCTCAAGCTTGATCATTCATTAGTTGAATTCTGCATCATAGAGAAGAAGAAAATAAGAATTGTTACTTAAAACCCTTATTTGAATGTTATCAACATTGGAATTTAAAGAAACGAAAAATGGACACTTTATTAACCTGCTACTAACAAAACCATATTTACTGTCACACACATAATGCATAGCAAATTCTTATTACTCTTTCCACCTCCCAAGTGATTAAGTTTTCAATTTGCCGGACTATAGACATGTTGTGGGTATTATTCCTGTAGAAATGACACCAATTTAGGAATTAGCCAGTGCGTCATGAATTTCATTTTTTCAGATAAAAGTATCCTGAATTATGGTGAAGTTATGATTTTTAGTTCAAAGCTTCAGGACAAAATAAATATTGACTAATCCCTAAATAACATCCTTGAGAATGGCTATCTGTGCACTTGCCGCATTATTCCTAGCTAAATCTTTTGAATTTCTAATTGATTAGATAATCAAATTATTTCGTCAAGCTTGTTTAAGAAAATATTTGATATTCAGTCTCCATTCCTTGTATATATAAGTTGTTAAAAATTGATAATCGTCTCTCCTCTTCTACTCACAACTAGGGGTGTACAAAGAAAACCGATAAACCGCACCAAATCGATAATGCGAGTCAAACTGGAGAAAAAAAATTCACTTTGTGGTTTGGTTTGGTATTGAAAAAAAAGAACCCGGCCATAATTGGTTTGGTTTGGTTTTAACTAAAAAAAAAAAGTCAAACTGAAACCAAACCAACTCGATAGTACATTTATACAATTTTTAAAAATATTTTATACATATAAATATTTATTGTACTTTAATTTATAAGTATTTCTTAAACTTTTTCACAATATTATCTTTTAACGTATTATTTCAAGTTTGGACTTAACATTCTTGAATGGTAAATAAATTTTATCATAAATGTTGTAACTCAAACAAAGTTCAATACTAATGCTAACAAAAGAAATTCAATTCAACACTGGGAATGATGATAGTTTTGGATATCTATTTTTTAGTTTTACATTAGTTTATAATGAAAATGCATAACTTAGTTTATCTTTTTCTTTAGTGCTTCGTTATGTAATTAATACTAGTAGTACTTATTAACTGTACTTATTTTATCATGACCTACGTAGTATTTTTCGATTATGTTAATTTTCATTATGGCTTATTAATTAGCAATATTTGCTTTATGCAATTTTATTATATTTGTTATTGAATATTTTGGTATAGTGCTATGGCTTATCTCATATTATGTGTTATTTTCTTGGAAAATATATATATAGTTATATCTTACTAGGATTAAAGAAATATTTGGAGCACAAGTTACACACATTTTGTACTATAAAGACTTTACCGGAAGAAACCCGAAAACTTGAAAAAATTGAAAAACCCGAGAAAAATCAAGATCAAAAAACCCGACTCTGCTAGTTTGATTTGGTTTACAGATCTAAAAGCCCGATACCATCGGTTTGGTTTGGTAAGTGAAAAATCCGAACCAACCCTACCTATGTCCATCCCTACTCACAAGTCATAACTGTGATGTTTCGATTCTTTCTAATTTTTTTTGGTTGAGAATTTGAAAGACTCTAGTCCATATGGCAATGTGTAGGGGTGTTCATGGTTCAGCTTGGATCGTTTTTTCCCTAAAAAGAAACCAAACCAAGTAAGTCGTTTTTTCAAATATTAGAACCAAACCAAACCATTTAAGTCGGTTTTTTCTCGATTCGGTTTATGTCGGGTTTTGTCGGTTTTTCGGTTTTTTCGGTTATTTGCCGGTTTTTTCTTAAATATAATACATACACTACCAAACATATATTCCGGAGACCACATTTTTAACGTAACACTATCAAATCAATTGCCCTTTGAGAAATCTATTATTTACCAAGATATATTGATGATAATTGAATCAAATAGTGATGAATAATTTAAGGACTCAATTAAATATATATTATTTTTAACACGAAATAGATTCTTACACTTAACAAAAGAAAACTACCAATCAAACTAGAATGTAAAGGT